TGTTAGGGTTGGATGGGTGATGTTAGGGTTGGATGGGTGATGTTAGGGTTGGATGGGTGATGTTAGGGTTGGATGGGTGATGTTAGGGTTGGATGGGTGATGTTAGGGTTGGATGGGTGATGTTAGGGTTGGATGGGTGATGTTAGGGTTGGATGGGTGATGTTAGGGTTGGATGGGTGATGTTAGGGTTGGATGGGTGATGTTAGGGTTAGGATTGGATGGGTAATGTAAGGGTTGGATTGGTGATGTTAGTGTTGGATGGGTGATGTAATGGTTGGATGATGTAAGTTTTTGATATCTGATATCAGGGTCTGTCGCTTGTGTTCATGTTGGACGGCTGATGTGACTTAAGATAATCTAGCTACTCATTATCATATACGAGATTGATATCATCAATAGTACTGCATCAAAATGTTGCCTCTATATTTCAAACACTAGTTGAAGTTAAATCAGCCAAAAGCCTGTATTTCACAAAAACCTCATTCTATTCCACTCGTTTCACTAGCTCCTTTTTTTATTTTTAGTTAATCAATACCTAAGCTACTTATCTTAGTATTGAACAAATAAACACGACGCAGTTTTATATCAGCTAAAAATTATTTGCAACTTTATTACGTGAAGCATCACCTTTGTATAGAGTCTTTTAATAATGTGCAGCTTGTACCTAGCCTCTCTAAGAATTCCTCAGCTGCCTGCATACTGCGGTAAGGTTATCGGGGGGGGGGGGGGGGGTTTCCAGAACTTTCATATTTTATAAAAATAAAAACTCCATCTTTGCCTGGATCTATCCCCTCCCTTGCTGTACTCTCACCTACACACTCTTACTCACACAACACAAACACACGCCGTCCCTCCCGTACCACACACTACCCGCCGCACCCCCACCCAACTCCTATGAACTCACACTTGATTACACGTTACCTCACCCGGCCCCTGCAACACTGAAGTGCTCACACTGGGCCAGCTATCCACGGTCGACTCTTCGTGAGTTCACATTCAGTCTTGTACACCTAGTGAAGTTTAATAGCGACAGGGCTAGTATACTTACCTTATAGATCAAGCTAATTCCTAGTATACTTACCATATAGATCTAGCTAATTCCCAGTATACTTACCATATAGATCTAGCTAATTCCTAGTATACTTACCATATAGATCTAGCTAATTCCTAGTATACTTACCATATAGATCTAGCTAATTCCTAGTATACTTACCATATAGATCTAGCTAATTCCTAGTATACTTACCATATAGATCTAGCTAATTCCTAGTATACTTACCATATAGATCTAGCTAATTCCTAGTATACTTACCATATAGATCTAGCTAATTCCTAGTATACTTACCATATAGATCTAGCTAATTCCCAGTATACTTACCATATAGATCTAGCTAATTCCTAGTATACTTACCATATAGATCTAGCTAATTCCTAGTATACTTACCATATAGATCTAGCTAATTCCTAGTATACTTACCATATAGATCTAGCTAATTCCTAGTATACTTACCATATAGATCTAGCTAATTCCCGCTAACTCCATACTTTCAATCTCTTGTTGTAGGTTTAGATAGTAAATGCCTTTCCGGCACCTGCATATTATAAAGGCTCACCTACATCTGTAGGGGATGGCGTGGCCTAGCTGTAGAGCACTAACCGAAATTCTCGAGTTCGAATCCGAGTTTATGTTATAACGTCGCTGAGTCCACTCAGCTCTGATGGGTACCTGACTCACGTTAGGGAATGTAAAGGTGGTTGGGCATAGTGATGACCCCACTATCCCTTCATACGCCGAGGTCACAGAAGTAGGTCTACTTCATTTGCCTAATAGACCGTCAAGTTAAAAAAAACAAGGAACTATCTGTTTCTGTGACTACCTCTATCATACTTGTTTGCACAACATTACAAAAGTTTTATATCCTTTATTTTCTAAAGGTCTGCCATTGTTTTTGTTTTTGTTATTATCTTTCTCACTATTCACATAGATCGTCATTCATTATCCAGCGTATTCAACGGTTTTACAAGAATTCATGGGTGAAAAACAAGTTATGGTAGATTACCAAAAGTAGTTGCTTTATTTCGTAAATCAACAGATATACTATGCATTTACAAGAACTCATAGTAGGTCTTTCACTTTACAATAGGGATGTATTCTATAACATCACTTAAACATATCAGGACAGACCATAAATGTTAAATACAAAACGAATGGTGACAATAAGGATAAAATAATGTTAAATGGGAAAAAATGTATCCCTTACATTAGTAAATGTAGGGTAAGATTAGTTTTAAAATGATCAAATAATTTTCATTATAATAGCATAAAAATAAATACGTAAAATATTTTTTTACTTTTATATAATTTCTATTTTTTTTTCAAAATCCTAATTAAATATTAAATATTTAAACCTACGATCGACTAAAATCAAAATACAAAATCTAATTATATAACGGTGGCTTATATTCTGTTGATGTAAAGATTCGAATTATTTATTTTGGCATTTCACTGTTTATGCAGTTGTTGAGATCATGTGGATATAATTAATGAAGCTACCTGAATGTTTTTATAACAACAAAAAAAGGGGGAGAATTCAGGCAAGCTGCACCTGGTAATGGTTAGCTAAGATGTTGTCTTGGTGTCAGTGTGTGTGGGGGGATGTGTGTGTTTAGTGTGTGTGTGTATGTGTGTGTGTGGAGGTGGGGGAGAGTCTACCTGTTGTTGTGTTTAGTTGGTGATGCCAATATCTGTGTAAAATGGAGTATGTGTGGTGAAGTGGAGGGAGAGGGGGCGTGTAATGGAGTGTGAGGAGTGGTTGTATAGGTGGGGTGTGGATTGAGTGTGTGGGTTGTGTGTGGTGGAGCATGTTGTGTGGTTATGTGGATTGTGTGTGTGTGTGTGGGTGGATGCTTGGGACGGAATTTGTGGGAAAGTTTGTGGTGTGGGAGTGTGGGGTGGGTATGTGAAAAGGAGTGTGGATGTTGGTGTAGGATTGATTGTGTGATACAGCACGTGCTGAGTGTGTGTGGAATCGGGTGTGTGTCGAGAGTGTGTGGGATGGTGTGTGTAGGATAAGTGTGTACGTTGATATATTTTGCTTAGGTGTGTGGGGAATATTATATAGTATGTTGAATTGGTATGTGGATTACGTAAGTTGAATGATCTATTTATATAATGTGAAGAATATAATGTGTGAGAAAGGTTACGGGGCATGATGTGTGTGGACATGGTGTTAAATGTTGTGTTGGTCATATAAGGTGGGTGATACGGTGTGTGTGTGGACTGTGTGTTAGACAAGTGTTCGAGAGGGCGCTCGAGATGGGTAATGAAATTTAAATATCTTACGAAATTGAGATAAATGCGCGAACTTTAGTTTGTAAGTGTGCTTGTTATATAGCAGTTAGCGGGGTGTGTTATCTAGCATTGTTTTAATCCTAGTGTATTTCCCCCCGAAAAAATTCTACCGCCCCTCCCCCACCAGAACAAAATGAAATTTATATAATTTATATAGAAAATATATACTTTTAACAGTGTCCGCCCCCCCCCCCTCCCCCGAAGAAAGTCTACCGCCCCAACCCCTGAAAATTTCAAGTGCCCCCCGGAGAAAAAATTCTGGAAGAAACACTGGTGTATTTAGATTACTAACATATTGTTGGATTTAAATTGTGTATTTCCACTACGTGATTTGAAGATAGATAATTGTAATGTTAAACGATGATAGGTTTTGTTCGAAATTATTAGATAATTAGTTAAGTTTCGGGGAAATATCAAATTCATTTTCTTTTAAATTTAAGATAAGATAGTTAAATTTCAAAACAATGAAATTATTACTATATTGTTTTCTAGCTTATCTGTTGATATATTTTTAATAATATTTTTTAATAATATACCGTAAATTAAATTGTTAATTTAAACTTTAATAAAGGTAAACAAATTTTAATTATAGAGTAAAACAAGTTAATTAAAAAGTCTAGTGACAATTTTAGCGCAATTTCCTTATGTTATCTAAAAATAGCTCTGTCGTAGCGTAAATCAAGAGCAGGGTTAGTAAAACCATTGGTTAGTTATTAAAACGTTTTTTATTAAAAAAAAATTTCAGTATTTTACATGTTTTATTTACAATAGAGTTACATGACTAAAAACCATTGCGCGCCTAGCTACTGAACGTGATGACGAAGCCATAGAACGTGATGGTGCAGCTATTGAACGTGATGACGCGTGTGGTGTGGTTGGAAAAAATGCCTACTAATTCGGTCCAAATTTTAATGATTAAAAAATTTTTTTGTGACCGAACGAAAGGATATTTTTGAAAACTTTCTTCGGCAATATTGTTCTAAATTATGGCAGGAATCGATTGGTACATGTTTCAAGTCGCTAAGTGGTCTGGTTGCCGAGATATGTGCCAAAAACTGCTTTTTTTTCGAGGTTTTTTGGCTTTTCCAGGAAATCCATGAAAGAAACCCGGAATTTTTATAGCCTATGTTCATCCTCGTAACTTGCTTAACATAATTGCTTTTGAAACTAGTCATCGATATTGCTTCGTTGAGGAGGAGATACGACTTAAAGCTGCGGACACACATCCATCCATCCATTCATACATTCATACATCCAGAAATGACGGGTTAATAAACGCAATTCTCCAGAATGGAAATTGCGCTAAAAATATAGGCAAAATAACTCCTACATCATATTTTACAAGCATATTTGCTCATTCAATGTATGTTTCTGTTTATTTGGCGTTGAGGTAAATCAAAGAGTTCTCTTGTAAGTTGATAACGTTTGTTATATATATGTGATGTGGTTACCTAGTAAATTAACTTTGTTATCAGCTGAAACACGGTGTTTTATAATTTGTTTTCGTTTTCCAACAAAAGTTTATTCTCTGACACTGATATAAAAATCCTGGCACAACTGGTAATTAATTAAATACAACTCTCATTTCGTTAATGATTTACTAAGATTATTCTCCTTCTGACATGTATGTATGTTTATCTGTCCACAGGAAGCCATAGGATAAGTCAAGCTGCACCAACAAAGCTCCCTAACTTGGTGCCTGAGGTACGTTTCTCTTTAGACATGTTGTTTTGTTTACACTGACAACAAGGACTGTAACTAGTCGAGTACAGGATGTTGGGATTGTAAAGTAAAGATAAACTTCTAAAATAAACGACCACCCAGGTTGTGAGATTAGACTCGAGAATTCGATATTTATAGAAAGAGCAGGATTTGATTTTTACCTTCCATGACAAGACAAACGAGCATCAATCCACCTCTCTCTCTCTCTTTCTCTCTCTCACACACACACACACACACACACACACACAAACACAAACAAACAAACAAACAAACACACGTACTCCCTATCAAGCCTAATTAAGTCTATACTTCACCGCTATATTTTTTTTTAATTTAGCATATCATTGCTTATTAAACGTGGTAGAATTAAAGGTGATTATTTTTAAAATGTAAGTAAAGGGTCGTCATTAAATGGTATAATATTCCTCCTCGCCTTCCCCATTCTTCACAAAACGTCATAAAAATTCAGATTCCTCTCGTCCCAAATTGAGGTCACACTTGTACCCCCCTCTCTCCATGCCTTCACAAATTACAATATTTCTTAACCAATAGTAATCGAGCGTGTGTGAGGTTAAAGTGTGTTGGTCTATTTTGTTACAATTTACAAATATAAAAATCTAAAATAAAAATAATAATTAAATGTTCAGTTTAATATAGAGCTTGTGAGAGTTTAAAGTATGTTGGTGACGTTGTATTATTATTTACAACTATAAAAATCTAAAATAATAAATAAATGCTAAAATAGAGCTTGCCACGTGTCCAAGTATATCCACGCACTTGCTTAATCTCTTTCCCCACCCCCCCCCCCCCCACCCCTCCGCGCTTATTCTGTCACAAAAAAGTCACACCGCCACCTCCCTCTAAAATTCATAAAAACCTCTGTCCACCAAACAATAGAGTGATGGCTACTTAAAGGAGTTTTTCCGCCTCAACGTCAATAGATATTTTGTAAATTTGATTCTGCATCGTTTTATTGTATTTAGATATGAGATAAAATCTGCAGAGACAAGTTTTTTTTTCCTTGAAGCGTCCAGTTTAGCGTCATTCATTTGAAATCATCTTGATTAATTCTTAGGAAGTGTCCCATCTAACGCCATCTTTTATTTTTTTAATATATTTTTGCGTATTGCGGAAACTTGTTTCCATTTACAATTGTAACTAACATTATCTTATTCTCTGCTACACCTTAAGCTTGTAACCAACCCAAAGACTAACTATCTTAGGAACAAAACTCTCCAACCTACTAGGTTAACAGTAGCCATTACGGCAGGTCTGTCTGGCAGCCAGATAAAACAGCTCGAGGACTTGCGTATCACGTGACACGTGCCCTTTTGATTGGCTTATAAAAACTCTCGCCCTGAAATCTGGATAGTTAAGCAGGGACCCAGCGTGTTGCTTATCGCGTGGGCTGTATATCTTCCAGCGGTCCTCACACTGACGCTTGTCACAAAGATTCTCAAGCTGTCACTGTCTGCAACTATCAATTGCGTAATATTAATAAGTAATCGGGACAGCGACCAATCTACGAGAGACAACTCCTAAATCAAACAACTGCTGCCTTGTAGTTTTCTTTCTTGAATGGACAAAGGCTATGGAAGCAAGACTAAAAGGTAAAGCTGGATGAACGCCTATATGACGCTAACAGTTTTGACACATCTATATATATAATTCTCTTCTGGGAGACGCTAGAAAACAAGCTGTAAGCGCGCTCCTTACAACCCCACCCCTACATTGTCTGGTGAGCTGTGGTTCACACTAAATGTTTACAAGCAGAGCCGGGTTTAGTGACGACTATTAGGGGCAGATAATTTAGTTTGAAACGATTTTAAGCGTAGGGGGGAGGGGGGTAACTAAGTGGAGTTTACTTTAACGGAGAGGGGGGAGGAGGGGGGGGGGGGTATCGTCCTTAACGAGCTACTTATAGTGTTTTAAAGAAATATTTTCAGTGGCAGCGTTGGTACTGTCGAATTCACAAATTATGAATTATCAAAAGTAGAAAAAACAATAACTAAATAGCGGCATATGATAAGCCGCGGGTCGGCTCGTATTACTTAATCGTGTTGGAGGAAATCACATCCAGCATTACAATTAAGTACAAAAAGAAGAAGGCAGCCGACATAGACAGTTCCTCTTTCGTACCTCAGGTTCCAAAGGGCAGATGAAGTGGAGTTCATCTGTTTCTTGACCACGGTCAAGTGATCATATTGTTAACACAATTACCAGCCAATTTTACTTTTCCAATCGGCGTATCTGTGGACTCAGTAACGTCCTACAAACTCGAATCTAGGAAGCGAACGCTTTCGTTATTTAAATACTTTACTTGCATTTTTTTTTCAAAATAAATTAAAGTTGATAATGACTTTTAAAACTATAGATGATCATTTAATATAAATAACCAGATATATTTGAAAGTTGATCACTCAAATACGGATATTTATAACCAAGATATAATATATATATATATATATATATATATATATATATATATATATATATATATATATATATATATATATATATTATATATATATATATATATATGTATATGTATATATATATATATATTTTATATATATATATATATATATATATATATATATATATATATATATATATATATATATATATATATATATATATATATATATATATATATATATATATATATATATATATATATATATATATTAAATTTACAAAAAAACATATGTTTAATTAGTTGAGTGGGTTTGTTAAGGTCAACGAAGCAAGAACGGTAACTGTAAAACTTCAAACATCTACACAAGAGTTCTGTGCATGAAGTGAGTAGCGAGTGTAGGTGAGGCAGGTACGTCTAGCTACCGGTGAACTCACCTAGTTGTTTATGGCACCAAATTACAGGTAATACCAGCGCTAAAAATAGCCAGAGTCTAATGAGGCTTTCGCTTGATGATTCTTGCTGGTGCGTTTTTTAACAGAAGATTTTACGCTACAAGTGTTGTTGCTGAATTGGTGGAATTTTCGGTAAATTTTGATGACGTTGGAGGGGAAGTTTGGTCAGAAATCTTAGAGAGTAAGACATTTTGGATTATGTCGCCTTTCAGTGTCCGATATTGCGACAAAATAATCGTGTTAGATTATTGATGGTAAAATATAAATTATTATGACTTGTTAATGTAAATGCTAAGCTTATCCTTAACCCAAACCAAATGTAAAATACTAACATATCACTAACTCTTATTATGCGCATTACACTAAACATAATATTACATTAACACATAGTTTTAACAGTCCGTTGTCAAACACACTTAAGTGGGAAAACTCCAAATAGTGTGAAACATTGTGTTTAGTGTGATCTAGGAAAAATTAAAAACACGAAACATTTGGAAGAAATACTTATCAAATCTTAGCAACATAATACGATAGATCATTCAAAGCCAACATAAATTTTACAATTTAAAGCTTTGTGACTTCAAAGAATTTATAGAAGATTTTTTTAGACAGTGTCCTACTACTTAAATATGTGTCTGCACCCTCCTCCGCTCCCTACCCTCCCCATCCCTTTTGGAAATTTAAGCTCCCTCGAACCCAGCCTATCTCCCTGGAGAAAAATATCTGAAAGAAACATTGAACAGATTGCTGAATTCATAATTCCACAACCTTTTCTTTCCGAATTAGTTTTAGATTTTACATTTTTACAGAACACAGGATAGCCTAATTTAAATGTTTTTTAAAGAAAAATGTTAAATGGACCAGCTTGTTTCAAATCTAAACGTTTAAACTCAAAAATATGTTTCAAGTAAAACATACGTGTTAAAAGTAAACATCATATTTAACAATGATTCGTTTATTCCCTACATAAATAAACTACAAGTGAATTTATAAGCCTTACTGGTATTTTTTTCCCAATCAATTCAGCTTTAGTTCCCCAAACATAACGTGCATGTGATATGCTTTAACTACCCAATTTTCTGTAAACTACAAGATTCGAATGTTTTCTTTCCATTACCTTCATAAAATGATTTGACTTTACCTGGTACCTTGCCAAATGACACACCTGGCCCGGCACTGATAAGAGAAATTTGAAAACGCCCCGACGAAAATTATCAACGATGAAATTCCAGAAGTAAAATCCGGTGAAAAAACTATTTTCAAAAATATGAATGTTGGAGCAATAATTACGGAAAAGTATGTAGAAAATATTTTTAACACTTAGTTTACATGTAGAAAAAAAAACCATACAACGAAACGAGTAGGCCTACGCCACTTAGTCCAAAGACATCAAATATATTATCATTTGTACTGAAAGACGTCGTAATATATGATATATATATATATATATATATATATATATATATATATATATATATATATACATATATAAACTAATTTATATATATTATAGGCTATTTATATTATATATATTATATATATTATATATATAAGATCTTTATATATATATATATATTTTGTGTATGTGTGTGGGTTTATTTCAATAATACAAAACTCGATCTCTAACGTTATATATATATATAGGCCTACATATGTATTTATATGTGTGTGTGTTTAATATTCGTAAATTTAAACTAAACTTGAAATAAAGCTTACTAATTTCGTCTGTTCAAATGTTCTTTGTTATCCCACAGCCAAAACTCTAACACTACACCTTGTAACTTAAAAACCCTATCCCAGCTATCACGTTAGATAACTCGTGTATATAATATGATATAGACGGGGCGACAATCCATCTCGCGCTGTCAGTCTGTATCTGTCGTGTTTATCCTTGAGAATATCAGTCTGGAGATAGCAGTCTGTGCGTCTATGCTGCAACTGGTCAGCATTGCTGGGATGCCAACAAATTCAAATTCATTCATTAAGCTAGTTTTTTTTTTCAATTTCTTTTTTTTTGCGTTAAATTTATAGAATTAACTTTTTTCATTATCATAATTATAATTTCTCCACGCACTATTTGTGAAGGGTAATAAACAGTTTCCTATTTTTCCTCTTCTTCTTTTCGTTTTTAATTTTTACTCTTGGAAGGGATTGAGCCTTATCTGCCAGAGGGTTTGAACTCAAGACATTTTTGAATTTATCAACCATGAGCTTTTGCCTACTCGACCATGCTTCCGTGTCAACTGGTTATGCGCTATTGAAGCCATTGACTCCGATTTCAGCCTGCTTTTCTTTTTACATTTGCTTCCATAGCCTTTGTCTAACCAAGAACAAACTACAAGGCAGCAGTTGTTTGATTTTAGAGTTGTCTCTCCTAGAAGAGTGGCTGTCATGAGCCATGAGCTTTACCGACTCGACCACGCCGACCCCCTCAGTTTCAGATCATTTCGAAGAGAAATAGTGTTGTTTTTTTTTTATTTAGTATTTCTTCGCTAAGAGGTAAAGCGTGGTAGATTGTTGGAGCTGGAATTTGCTAAAGCGAAAGTCTTTAGTTCGGATCTCGGGACGAGTCTGTAGGTCCTTCTGAGCCCACTCAGCTCTAATAGGTACCTGACTCACTTTAGGTAAACAAAGGTGTTGGAAATAGCGCTGACCTCATTACTCTCTTGTATGCCGAGGTCAATGAAACAGGTGAACTCTACTGTATCTGCCTATGTCTGGCAGGTGGAAAACATGAGTAGCATAAATTGAGTACTTTACTGTTATATCTCTATTCCCACAAGCATTATCGCTGTAGTTTATAAATGTCATTGTTTTTACCTGAACACTCATTTAAACTGCTTGCTAGAAAATATTTTTAGAATGTTTATCTTTTATCATCTTGAATGTTGATATTTTTAAAAGAAAAGCATATCCTTTTATACGTTTTCTTCAAATCATTATACTGGTTATTTTTTTATTAACTTTAACGCCCATGTATTAACTCTTATCATTACCCACAGGTGAAGAATTTGGCCCTGCCCACATGAAACAAGCTCGCTAGAAGCTAAAGCTAACGAAGCCTCTGGACGATCTAGAACTGCATCACGTCTCCTTGAACACACATCCAAGGCAACTTGAGTGATCTTTTCCTGGATGTCCGCTCCTTTATCAGCATTGTCCATAATTTTTTAAATTTTATTTTGTGTCCATAGTTAGCATTACACAACAAGTATTTGTATACTCAACGTAGAATCTTCACTGCTAGTTAGTTTTGTATATTTGCTGTGTAAAGAATAGGACATATTTTTTTTACTAAAACAGATGAAGACCATTGCTCATTCTACATATCTACCTGAAAAAAGGACTGTATATAAACAAAATTGATTTATTTTTAAAGCGGAACTGAAATTTAAACAATGGACATTGTCTCAAATAAAAGAAAACGAAAAATTTGAAAAAATAATTCATAAATAAGTTATAATTGCTTCAAGGCAGTGAAGAACTATTTTGCTTGCTAAATAACAATCTATTTCATCTTAACCAGTAACAAAGTAATTTGTGTCAGGTAGTTATCGCACTGTGGATTTTTCGTAATACTGGATTACATAGCAATAATTTTTTTTCGAAGTAAATTGTAAATAAAAAAAGAAAAAATACGAAAATATTTCGAAGAAGTGACACTTGTACCCTCATTAGCAGACGAGAATTAGCTCTACTGAGGAAAGAATTGAGCTCTGAGTTCAGGATGAGCTCAGACACCGTGTCTCCGCTCGTGAGTTTTGTACGTCCGTTAAGAAGTGTTGTGTTTAAACACTTTCACGCAAACAAAACTCGACTTTCGACTTTACACTAAAGGTTATACACGCTGTGTATAACTGTCACGTAACTATCTACGGGAAAACTTCAGAAGTAGATAGTTGCCTCCAACGATAACCTACGATAGTTTATTCACCACTGTTTTGGTGAGCAACATCGTGCAAGAATGGGGAATCGAATTGGTGGACAAAAGCAGAAGGCGAATAAACCTACAAAGGAAGAGAAGAAGAAAGAGAAGGAAATAAAAAAAGAGAAAGAGAAACAATCGAAGAAAGAAAAGAAAGAGAAGAAGAGGAGACCGCAAGCTTCGGGACCGGACACGGATTTCGATGACTCGAGTCACGTGACCGGGGGGGATTCCGAGTCTTGCGTCTTCCATTCTGCGGAGAATGTCTCCTCCCCGTACCTGGACGCCTGCACGAGGTCCGAGCTGGAACAGAGCACGACCTGGTCCAGCATGTACGAGAGCTACACGTCCGCCCTCCAACACCCCAAGGTGCTCTCGTCCAAAGACTTCAAGGACGGGTTTTCTCTCGAGGCGTGTATCCCGCCCGAGATCGCCCGCCCCGAGACTTACGACGACGGCACGCTGTCCAACACGTCACGCTTTGAAGGCCGGAGCAGCGTCAACTCGAGAAAGAGCAACAACAGCGTGAAAAGCAACTCGGCCAAGCCTCGGTCTGGCCACGCCACGCCTACGTCATACAGATACAAACCGGCAGATGACGTCGGTTCGGTGGGGACGTCATCGCAAGCTAGCGCTGGGGGCGGGTATCACACCCCTCTACTGTCCACGCCCATATTCAGTAGAGTTGACCGACCTCATTCGCCTGCCTCTGGCGTGTCATCCCCTTTATCGCGAGTCCAGGAATCGGATCCCAACGACTCCATGGACATCGCCCCGCCCACCACCTTCCACCATCCACATTTTTACAACCATCTCAAAACGAAAATACAAAAACAACCTCCCGCCTCCCAGCCAGATTTCCGACACCTTCCCAAACCCACCTCCCCGCAACCCCAGCGCCGGGCATTGTCTCCTAAGATGACGTCATCGCCGTTTAAACGCATCTCGTCGGATGACTCATCCTCGAGCCCTACCACCCCCACCCCCCAGCGGCGTGCCACTAATCTCCTAGACTTACTCAGATCAGGTAGCAAAGGTGAAAAAAGTAGCAAAAATAAAAGTGAGAATAAACAGGCAGCCGTGCCCTCCCCGCAGCTGGAGGGGAAACTTGGCTCTAAAACTCCCGAGAACGAAGCGAAGATAAAGTCTAAGCCGATGTGGAAAACTTGGGAGAGGTCGGCCGCGAAAAAATCTGAAAAACAAAACAAAGTTTCAATTTTTGGAACCACTCGCAAAACGGATAAGAAAAAATGCGAAAATATTTTAGGAAATGTTACATACACTTCAACGGAAGACAGGCAAGTTACACAAGAAGAAGTTTCGCAAAGTTTAAATAATGATAAAAATAAATCAGTTTTGAGTCGTGTGTCTAAAGGTAACAGGACAAGTAGTAAGAGCTCGGATTCAAATTTAGAGTCCAGTTCCAGGGGGTATAGTGGTAACGAGGAGGAGAAACAGAATAGAAACAGCAGTCCGCCTGTCGCCAAGTCCGCGGCGTTCTGTATCATGAGACTCGAGGAGCTGGAGAGGTCGATAGAGAAGACAATCCGTGAAAAGTTTCCAGATGCTGAGCCGTTTTTGCTACGTAAACGTTCAAAAGATGACGAGCTCAAAGGATCACGGTCGTTACCGTCCACGCCTTCGTTGAAGAAGAAGTTATACGTAGTCAGGGATGTTGATGATATGAAAAGGAACAGTCAGAAGGACAGCGTTGAGTTTAACCTGAATACGGTGAGCGAGAAGCTCAGCACGGCGAACGGCAACACCAGGGTGTGCGCGGAGACGTTCGAGTCGTCTCCCAGTCCAGCCATGTCCCCGGTCGTGTTGCGTCGGTTCGGCGCCCGAACACGACACGCCAGTATCTCTCCGAAAATCCCCCGCGCCAAAACCGCGGCGCTGTACAACTCGCCCAGCGAGATGACGCAGGCAGAGGAATCCATGGCAACAAAAACGGTGACCAAAGTCCCGGTGTACCACGCCCTGTCCACAACACAAGTCTCCACGCCGTCCTTGTCAACCCAATTCATGAAACCCTTAACGCCCTCGCAAAAATCAACTTCGAAATACGACAACGTCATGGACGAATCAGAACAAACGCCGCTTAACAATGACAGCCCGAAACTTGTCAGGCAATACGGTGTTGAAGAGAACGACAGCGATGAAGTCGAGGAGAGGACTGGGTACGACAACTACCCAGATAGCTGTCCGAACCCTGTGATCGTCCCCACGTTTTCTGCCGTCTTCGGTTCTGTTTCTCCAAAGCTACGTCGACATTTGCAGAGTAAGTTTGATGATATCAACAAGCAAGGCAGAAAACCAACTGTACAGAAACTAAACAACAATACCTCATACACTAAACCTGGAACTGTTGATGTAAAAACAAAACAGTTTACCGCTCATAACACCAATCAACAAGGCAATAATTTTACCAGCCCCAAAGGTGTTAAGAAATTAGTACCTTCTTTCCCTGTTTCGCCGAATTTAAATTCTCAAAAATATGTTACAAATGAAACAGGATCTGTCAATAAAGGCGGACTAATACAAACATCGCGTTGTAAGGAAACAACTGAATCAGCTACGTCATCCGCGCCACCTACATCCACGGTCACGGTCACAGCTTCCGTTTCCGGGTCGCCAGTTTCGGTATCAATAAAAAACAAAATGACCCCATTATCCAAATCTCATTCCGAGGGCTGGAAGAGCGGTACCACTCCGGCTTCAGGAGCCGTTAGCACTAATAATAGTTCGCACCTGTATTCTGCAGGTAAATTACACACCGAAGCAACACACCCGGTGCCAGATCAAGGCGAAATGGGGGCGACGTTGGAACATCCTCGTCGTGTAGAAGAAGTAGAAAAATCTGGCATTCATCGCAAGCATTCCACAGATCATGTGATTTTTGGCTCCGCCGTGGCCCTACCCTGCCGCGTGTACACCTCCGCCCCTCTCTCCCCTACCTCTCCTGGTCCCGAAAGGTCCAACAACGTTAATATTTCTGCCACTGCGCCTGCGCAAGAGACTCTGACGAGCCAGCACAAAAATATACGATATGTAAAAAAACAGAAATCAGGCCTCGGCGGTGATAATAAAAGAGATGAACAATCAGTCGCGTATTGTTCGGAAGCGGTTATCAAACCGTGTGTTGTGTCTTCTGCTGCCGACACTCGGTTTGATTTAAGTACTCATTCTGTGCCCGGTTTAAACCAGTTACATGGAAACGATAAGCAACACAGCGGTGACGCTACGTATGAAGGGGAATTAACTGTATCAAAGGAAAATATTGTGAGTGATCCATCTTGTAAACAAGAAAAAATTCGTGAAATTCCGGAATGGGGTAAAAGTACAGCTCGAGATGAAAACACAGTAGGAAATAGAAAGGAGGATATTTATGTGGAAGATGTTTATTCAAAACAGAAGAGTTCATGGGATGGACATATCGCTGGGAGGTACCAGTCTAAAAGGAAGCAGGAGGAGCAGAGTGTCGCAGTTTTAAGACAGCCGGTGTCTAAAGTGATTTCAGAAATGATAAATATCAGTAAACAGGAACAGCTGAGACAGCAACAGCAGGACAAACAGCAGGGGATACAGCAACCACAGGCTAACCCAGAGTACGGCGTGAAGCATGTTCTGCAAGCGGTTGCTGTCGTTAGTTCGCCGACATACGAACAGCCTTGCTTTACCCTCGAGGCGAAGACAGTTCGAGGCGAAGTCCTGCACGTCCCACCTGTAGTTCAACAAACGAAAGTCTTTGTCAGTAAAACTACAATCGAGTCTCGTTGTCAAGAAATACAAACGGATTCCTACACAACAGCTGATAAAAGCGTCGATAGCAACGGGTTACACAGCGAACCTACAAATCGACAAAGAGAATCACAGCCTTTACCTCTTATTCGAGATTCCATCGAGAGTAGGCAAAACGCTAAAGATAAATTAAACGAGAAACAAGATGAGTATTCTTCGGATGAAAGTGAATTTCTAAAAATGGTGTTAGCTTCTAAGGACTTAGAACGGTCAAGAAACGTAAAAGATAAAGATGCTGAAGAACTTGGTGAACACGCGCCGCCTCCGCCAAGTCCTACAGCAGTACAACAGCTTTTAGAAGAGTTTTCCGATGAAGAAGAAGACTCCGACGCTCAAGAGAGAAAAGAAATTGAACTGGCTATGAGGAAGGAATCGGAAATAAAACAGTTTACGGATAAAATTTACAAAAGGCTGTCCAATTTGATAGGCAGTCAAGAGGAAATGGACGACGATGTGTTTGTCGCGGACGTACGAGAGAAGAAAGAGACAAAGCATGAGGGTGATCTCGGGTCTAAATATGAGAAGAAGGAAGACTCGTTTTCATCCGGGTCTGACGACGAGGCAACGCTTTTCACAGCTGACACGTCAGTAGTGTCATCGTGTGACAAGCACTTGACAAAAGTCATGACAATTGAAACATCGTCGTCGCTAACGACAACAACATCATCGGATTCGGAAATTTACGAGGAACCGAGTAAGAACGAGAGAAGAAACGAAGACAGCGCAACGGGTTTTCCGAAAAGAAATGCCGAGCCGAATGTTTTTATATTTCCGGAAATGGAAAACGCTATGTCGGTAAACGCAGACGACGCCAGACAACGCCGCAGCTCTCGTGAGTACCACAGCGACGATGACGTGGCGACCGGGCGAGGTATTCCAGACTACTACGACGACCGGCCTCTCTGGTCCAAACGTCAGAAACCGCCTGGTCAACTCTCGGCAGCCATGATGGCTATTCGCCGACGCGAGAGAAGAGAAAGGTGGTTAAAGAAAAGAAGAAGAAATAAAACGGACCTTCTAAGCACCGGAAGTAGCGATAACTGTTCGGAAATTTCTCGTGACAGAAGAAGCAACACGTACATCATTGATTCAAACGCTTCTTTAGATTACGACGAAGACGAGGAGTTTATCGCACACGAAAGGATGATTTTAAAAGACGAGATGGGGTCGGGAATTCTTACCTCACCTAAATACTCTAAACCCATATTACCTTTTTCCATCAGCTCATCGAACCAGAAGGAGGCCGAACCTTCTGAAAGAGATCGCGTATCGATAAAAATCGCCGCTGAGCGCCAGTTTTATCGAGATCATCGAAGCAAATCAAACTCCGACGAGAACAGACACCGTCGTAAAAAACGCACAAAAGACAGAAAAAAGAAAAGCAGCTACGACAACGAAGACGTCGACGTCGATCACGACATCAGCGACGAAATTCTGAGCGACGAGTCGGAAAACGAGATGGAAAAGACTGAGATAGATTACCACCCTGAGCGGTTTAGTTCGGGTTCGAATCTTGTGATACCAGGCATTGAAGAAACTTTTAATGAATTAATGTCTGTCAAGCATATACTAGAAGAACTGCAAGAACGCAAGCCGGTTCAGTCGAGCAATGCTGAGTTTATGCCGCTCACGCAAGAAAATGTAAAGTCTGTTAGAGAATACTACAAGGACTGTTATTCTTCCGGAAACGGTCGAAGATCCCGAATGTCCGCGACGGATAGGACAGAATCGGATCTCGATATTTATTCAGAAACAAGAGACGACGAAAGCACGGATAGCAATTTCAACGCCGACGACGAAGAAGATGACGACGGCCTTGAACCTTACGCCACGGCAGACGACGACCACGGTGCTACTGACGAAAGCAGAAGCGCCGGGGTCAGCAGCGAAGGTCGACGCCGACGCGACGATCACCACGGCGACAACGACGACGACTCGGAAACCAACGTGGTCGTTAGCTGCACGTTCTATAACTCTAACGCCTTCGCGGCAGCACCTGACGGCGCCCTACTCCCCGCCCCCGCCCCGGTGAACAAACCCAGTGTTAAATCGACGCCCAACACCCTGACGCCCACCGCCCAGGCGTCCTTGCTCAACAGCGACGAGGAGTTCTGGGCGGGCAACGCGGCCGCCGATGAAACCTTCAAGCAGATTGAGACGGCGGCGGACTCTGTCAGCTCTACATTCCAGAACGCCAGAGAACAGATGCACGATATCCAGCACCACCTGCAGGCTCTCCGCCGGCAGATGGAGACGATGCAGGACGACCTGACCAGCACGTCTATGACCTTGACCCCTGACACATCGGCAGAATCTCACGTTCTGCCGTAGGAAACCAACACGGCGCACAAAGCGATGGAACACAGTTCACAGTTGTAAACCACGGCTTTAGACTTCGTAATCTGGTGAAAGTCACTCCACTCTAGGACATGTTCTCATTTCCTTATCTGCTTATTCTTTAATTATTATGACCTAAATCAACTGTACAATCACGCATATGTATAATTGCAATTGTAGTGCAACTAAATTTCTTTCTTAATGTTTAGAGGATCATCCTTTCTCTTTATATGCATATATATATATATATATATATATATATATATATATATATATATATATATATATATATATATATATATATATATATATATATATGTATATTTATTTATTTATATATATATATATATATATATATATATATATATATATATATATATATATATATATACTTAAAATAAGCCTGGTGAACATGAAATATTGTCACCTACTTTTCGGGATTTGGATTTCTTTCAGGCATTTTTTCCGGAATGCACTAAAAACTTCCGGTACGGGGCATCCAACTTGAAGTTCATTAGCGTAAATAATATCAATTATGTGTCATTCAATACCTAACTCTAAATGCCGTGGTCCAATACAATGCAGTTCACTACAATACAACTGTGCTACAAAACGTGTTCCATTTTGGCGCGATTGTGTAACCTTTTAACATTTACGTAAAAATATAAATCTCAACAAAGGAAATGCTTGAGAAAAATTCAAACGAGCTCGGGGTAAACCTATCGTTGCCTTAAGGAGTCATGCATAAATGACGTCATGCAATTTTTTTGACGATTTTTACCTCTCCCCATTCTCTCCGTCACACATCGGTACAAAAAACCAGACACCCCCCCCTAAAATGACGTCAGCCTACATCCCCCCTCCCCCGCCTCCCCATAAAAAAGCAGTTGAATTTTTCTTAAATTTTTATCAAAAATCTTGTCTGAACTGTCAACATAGAGTAATTTAATCAATTCCTATTACAATTTATTAAAACAGTTTTCTAAAATAACGGGTAAAATTCGTTTTCTAACTTTGTTTTTTTTATAACACAAAAGCGTGACTACACACCATCTGGACACCCCACTCCCCTACATCACACACCGTCACAAAATTACGGACCCCCTCCCCTCTACGAGTGTGACGTCATTTATGGACGACCCCTTTACCTATTACAGAAACGTAAACAAACAAACTATTACCGATACGATTCTTGAAATCAAGTTCTTGTACATACTACTTAAATTTGACAGAATGTGAATATTACGCTTATGATCAATATACTCAAGTTTATCGTCTTTTGACTAAATTCTAGTGTTGCTAAGACATTCATTGGGAGAATGCTTTTAGAGGCAAAATGGACGATTCTTATCGTATCAAATTTGTCTTTTAGTGCTTCTTAATTATTAAAAAAAAAACTGCATACTTGCTGAAATTGACTATGTCTATATATTATTGTTAACTATCCAATGCTGTTTTGAGTTTTTCTTTTTATTCGATGATGATTTCATGTATACAAATAAAATATACAAATCCTTTTTACTGATTTCTTGCTCTTTTTATGTTTTTTAAGAAATTTAATGAAATTTGAAAATATTGGGATTAATTATGTACGTACAGATTGTAATAGGATGTGTGTACAAAGAATATAATAAAAACGAGGAAAAGTTGGAACGGAATACGCGCAAATTCCTGTGGATAGAGTAGCTTCACTTTCCTCTATTACAGCTAAAAGCCTACCTGGGATAAACAAGAGGGAAAGGGGGAGGAGGGGGAGTGTGTGTGCTTTCTACCAGCACGTCAATGTCTGGCATGAGCTGTGCAGTACTCAACCTTTGACCTTCTCGTCTTATTTTTTTTACCTGACTTCTTGCTAGCGGTCACGTGACTGACAAGTCTATAAATAGAAACACCTGATCGCTCGATGAAGAACACTTTCACTATCATAGGAATATATAAAACGTAGGACAGGGTTTTCTGATAACCTTAAGGCAAATATTGTAAACCATTTACATCGACGTAACTGCCAGTATTACCAACTACATCTTTACTAATATTTAATTGATATATTGTTAGGTAACAGTGTTTATTTTTTTTTTTTTAAAAAAACTCACTTTATCTCATTTTGACTACTTCGGAAAAAACCCTCTTAAAAAATAAGCCACATTTATATATTTGTATGTATTTATGTTAGGGTGCTTAAACGCCAACATTTAAATGCATCAAGGACTTTTCGGAAACTATGGTTGCCATGGCTACGCGGCCATTTTGAAAACAAAATTTGTGTGCAAGTCTCATGGTTTAAAAAATAACATACACATTGAACAAATAATTATGGAATCTTCTTTAACTAACTCATATAGAGTAAGCGGGCTAGTTTTTGTAGCAGAAAACACTCTAAAAATGTAAAACATAAAACAGATGAATTTGGAAACAAATAATTTTAAAGAATAATAATACAATACGTGGAAAATAAACAAAAAAGTGTTTTAAAATTTTTTTTATTGAATCTTATATGGCACATGGTACATGCCATAAATAGACTGCGGTGTTGGTAAGGGGAAGTAACAAGATCTTTCCCCAGAGCACAAATTAATATATGTCGCTGTTAAAGTGTTTAAGTTGTAGGCGCGTTTCGTTGTACGTCTCAAGTTTCATAGATTTCGAAGTAAAATACATAACCATTATACGCTGTTGGAATCGTTACGACATATAGTCTAATCCTACATAAGTCCTAATGAATGGGGACACAGACACAAACACACACACATATAAATATATATATATATATATATATATATATATATATATATATATATATATATATATATATATATATATATATATATATATATATATATATATATATATGCCTGTGTGTATAATTGTATATACATATATATATATATATATGTATATATATATATATATATATATATATATATATATATATATATATATATATATATATATATATATATATATATATATATATATATATATTTATTTATTTATATTTATATATGTATATGTGTATGTGTACATATACCTATATGCAGGGGCGTAGCGAGGGGGGGGGGGGCGGGGGTGCGGACCGCACCGGGTGACACCATTTAGGGGTGTGACACCAAGCCAAAAAATAGCAAAATATGTAGAGAAAAACTTGAGGGGGGTGCAAATCGAAAGTTTGAGGGGGGGTGCAAATCGAAAACTTAAGGGGGGGGGGGGTGCAAATGGAAAACTTGAAGAAATTGTTTCCGGGAAGGGTCACTACGTCTCTGTGGGGTGACACCATTAAGTGCCGCACCGGGTGGCACCCGACCTCGATACGCCACTGCCTATATGTATATATAAATGTATGAATATATTTTTAGATGTGGATACATTTATATCCGTCTATACCTTTATAAACTATAACTGAAAAAGGAAGAATCGCTTTATCGTTATCTTATTACTTTGATTTTGTCTCAGTGATGTTGTCCAAGTAATTGAAAAATAAGCATAACCTTACAAGATGAAATTTTTTTAGGAAAAACGTATCATCTATAACTTGCAAAACTCTTTAATAAATGGTGTGTAGCTTTCTTTCATAATAACTCCCTCTCATTCTCTCATTCTCTTTCTCCCTATCTCTCTCTCTCTCTCTCTCTCTCTCTCTCTCTGTGTCTTTAATTCTTATATCCATAACTGTCTATGCCCAATTTTTAATAAACAAATACTTATTCAAAAAACGCATCGACATATTGATCAACGCAAGTAACATTCTCCGTCGTTTAATATCTTGTCTAGACATCTTAATGACTGCTATCAGCCTTTGATATACAAATAAAATCTAAATTTCAATAATGGACATGCAGCCATTAATAAAACATTAAAACCAACATCGACCTGACATCAATGTGCATACTCTGTAGACGGTTCTCAGCGAGTGTCTCGAGGTCCTAAAATCTGGCTTTTTAAAACGAAATTTTGCCAGTGTAAGCTTGATTTCCCAAACACAAAATAAAATCCTACTGAAAAATATATTCTAGGAGATAACTGTTGTAATTTTTTAAAATTCTAAAAAAATAAAATGGGAGTGATCTCCCCTGAACGTTTTCGAATATTCTTTGATATTACTAATGGGGAAGGCAACCTCAATGCAGTAGAAATATAGACCGTTTTTTTTTTAAAAAATCCATTTCCAATTACATTTTTTTTAAGTATAATAAAATCTCAAAGAAAAAAAAGTATAGCGCGCCAAATGAACAGCAAATAATCTGACTAAAATAATGCGGAATGATAGTACCTACTTTATAAAAAAAGACACAGTTAAAATAATTCATATGCGTTTTTTTTTTTTTGAGAAATAGATCTAATTATGAAGTTTTCTCTCCTAGACGGATAGCAGTCCCTAACTTTTGTGCTACGGATTTACCGGCTGAGGAATTTGGACTCGCATTAGCCAGGCAGGCCCCAACGTAGTGAACTCCGACTAACTGGCTTAGTGTGTGATGAAACAGTCCACGGAGATGCCGGTATGAACGCTACGTGTTTGGTCGTTAACATACGTGGGTTTTCAACTAACGAGTCTCATCTGCATGGGGATTTGAACTCGAACCTTTTGGAGTTAGCAATCACGCGTTAACCTGTCCGACCATGCCGCCCCCTATATTGTTACAATTACCCCGTCTACAAAAACCAGTAGAGCTATACCTTTAATTTTTTAATATTCTGATGTGCTAAATCGTTGATAACAATTGTTAAGGTAGGATAATATCTCAAATAAAAATTAAACGGGTAATAACAATCTATGTAATTGTATCATAGTTAGATTCTAGAAAATGTATGGTTTTTAATCTTAAAGATTTGAGAACCGTTTTTACTTTCACTACACACAGCAGCTGACAACAGAAAGATTCAACAAGCTATTGAAATATGAGTCACTCTACACACCTTCCACATACAGCAATACAATTATAACCTGCCGACCTGAAAATCCAGAAACAATTTTTTTTTAAAAACAAAATACGATTTGTTACGATAATGCTGTTGTCTTTTAAAATACATCCTTCGTCATGTTAACAGATTTTAGTTTTTCATGTTATATTTTTCTGTTGCGTCATAATTGGCATAATTTATTGTTATATTAATGAATTATTAGCTTGCTCAACTTAAGTATGTTTCATTTATGCATGCGAAACTTGTTTTATAAAATTCTACACCGGCATAATTTTTATCTTTAAATTGTTCTATTCATGCATATATTTCTTCAGTTATAATGTTCTTTCCACCACAATTGACATGGATTCTT